TATGCAAAACAATTTTTTTAATTTAGTACAAAATGTGTTAATAACATACTGTATTTTTCTTTCCAGGTAAACAATACCAATTTTGAAAATGTCGAAATACTGGTGAGTATACAAGTTTAGGTTTCCTAATTTGTACAAAATTGTATTGTCTATTTTAAGTTTTAACTGCAATTTCAAGGGGTGTTATCAAAATATTCATTCTTTTTCTTGGATGTAAAATCAAACTGCAGTAACAATATTTTGTTTTTTTCACAGATTCTACATGTATGTTCAGTGTTTGACATTTGCAATCTTCGTGCTTTGCAAGCTTTGCTTCAAGCATTTTCTAAGTATTTGTAAATTTAAACTGGAACGGGCCTTGATCTTTTGAAAATTTCCATTTGTCGCCTTAATACAGGGGCTATATAAATGACTCTAAGGGCGTAGTTGGCCATAGATTTTAAAATATCTAAAATGATGACAGTTCTCACTTCTCATTAATGTAATTTGTAACCGCTCATTTAAAGTCGTCGTTTTTATTGTTTTAACGTTTTAGTCCTCGTTGATCCAAGCTCAAAATAACAAAACAGTCGTTTGAAAACTCTTGGTAGTTACGTATGAAAATTTTGATTTTGTACTAGAAACCGAAGATTGTAAAAAGGGTTTATTCTATTGAACAAGACAATTTCATTGTTGTTTTGTTATCGCAATGGGACTTCGTAAATGAAGAATCTGTGTATTCTGTAACCGCTTGTAAGCAAGAATATCTGGCATAATACCGTGATTTAATAAGTCAAGAAACATTATTAGAGTCTTAGATTGGAGATATAATCAACAGACTGATTCGAACTGGCACTGTCAACAAAGAGAAATCTCGTTGAAGACCTTCACTATCTGAGGTAGTTATTCATGATTTGAGACGACTTTGAAACATCTTTCACAAAATTTCCTCAGCTGTCAGAAGTTTCGGTTGCAACATGAAATTGTACAATGGGAATTGACGAAAGGATTACAGAACATTTCTGAACTTAAAAAGAGAGTGAACATGTGTCTTTAACAAAATGATGAACATTTGCAACATTTACTGTGATGTTTAACCGCAATAAATTTGTTTCCTTTTTATTGTAACGATTAGTTTTATTTTTTTTAAGATACGACGCGTTTAGGCAACCAGTTATACAGATGTGTGTGGTCTTTGTCATGCGTCCTTAGGCACTTAGTACAGTTAAATCTGAGAGGCGGCACGTTTACATGACCTACTGCGACCCTATAATCATTTATAGAAACACTGTATTACAAAAAATTAACAAATATGCTCTCGTATTAGAAGCTTTAACAATTAATAGGTATGAGACAATCACCCCTCATTACTGAAGGGATTTTAGGTACGTAGAACATAGATAAAGAACCTTTGCCCAAAAGATGCAGGATTCCTGCGTATTACACCAATCTTATGAAACCATAATTGTATTCCGAAGTGATAAAATTATCGAAGATCTGGGGTTAGACAATACGTCTGGAAAATGATACATTTTTATTTAGGTTGATACATTTATAATTGGTCGCTAATAATTACGAGAATTACATAGTGTATTGTATTATACATATATCGACAAGATAATTTGTATAATGTAAACACTTTTTTCTACAAATCGATATCTCTTGTTATCAGCATAGTGTACAAGTGGTCAGTACATAGATAGAACAGATATAATCTGAATATCATTCTTTTTTTAAGTAGCACTTCATCATCTCATACAAGTGTCATCTACAACAGCTGAGAGATATTTATTTTTTGATATGTAAAGGTGTTGCTTTTGATATCCTTCTTTGCAGACAAACAGATAGCAGTAATATCGAAAACATTGAAGCATTGGGATTATATATCATTAATTAACAATAATTACTAGACGATTAAAATTGTCAGTGGTTGTAGGTCCGGATTTAATGCCGCCGTTTGTTCTCAGAAATTGTGCTACTGTCTACAACAAACCCTCGTGTGTTTTATTCATTCTAATCTTATGCACTGGTATTTAATATTAATTTTAAAATTGTCCCGCAAGTTCTTGGTGTTTAAACTATAGGTCTATTGTTACAAAGAGTAATTTATTAACCCCCGACGTAAAAAGAGGAGTGTTTTAACTTATAACATTGAAGCGTTTGTCTGATCTATCTGTGGCATCGTAGCTCCAAAACGGATGAATTTATTTCAATGCTGCTTGTTTTTGTTTGAAATCTGGTTTGATCCAGGTGATTCTTAGCTATCCTTGATGATAATCACTTCAGCCACTTCAAAATCATCAGCTCGGTTCGTGCGAAGGTGGGGATGGCACGTCGACCGTAGCAACGAATCTTAACCAATTTTAGACTTTTTAAGGGTTTACTGTTTTTGTATGGGGGATTTTTAAGTATTTAGCGATTTTATTGCCTCTAACACTTCTAATTTAAAAAGTCAATATAATCTTATATATAAGAAGTCCACTGTGACTAACCATTTGTGTAAAACGTAATTTCTATCTGAATATTTGGTGGACGTTATACATCCCGACTTTGGCAACGGATTTGATACTACTAATCACTCCACTCCATTCATCTTAGCAAATGGAGACATTATGGTTTTTCTAAGTTCCCACTTGCAATGTTTGAATCATATTTAAGTAACTGACCATCTTTCATTGAATTTCAAGGTTATACTTCAAATACCTCTTAACAGTCATCTGGTGTCCCTCAAGGGAAGGTTCTGAGGCCCCTTCTCGTTGAATTTTATATAAATGACTTCACTGTTGTTAATATCAGAAACTTTAATACTTTTTATTTCAATGCAATATCGTCTTCTAGACAGTTGACAATTGATATAGAAGACATGCGAGCTGCTTTCAAATGCGTTATAATGCATTGGAGGTGTTTGTAGACTTAACACATAAGACGTAAATAAATAACAAACAAAAAACTACCGGGGCTTAAGATATGAATTATCTTAAATATCAACAAAACAGAATATTTTGTAATATACATATATACATGCAACATATATAAAATACAAAAGTGTACTGTACCACGTCATGTTGAAAAAAATTATGCGAAATCAAATTCGTAGGATTGTTTTCTTTATAACGTTTAAATGTTTACAACATGTAAAAAGGCACATGGAAAACTACTAAGGAATTTCAAATTTGGAAATTTATTAGGTAATATTGAACATTAAGCATATTTTGACGTGTGTGACTTATGATATCCAGAACACTTTTCTAATATGTGAACGAGTTTAGAAAAATACGTCTACCATTGGTCGATAAATGTTTATAATAAAATTTCTTTTTTTTTATCGCACTCCTCCCGGAATCTTTTTCACTGGTCTTTTTGTCCGTTATTCATTGCATTAAAATAACTACCGACGCCAAAATTTCATTCTCTGTTACAAATTTTCCATACTAAAAGGTTATTTGATTTTAAGTTAGCACGTTTTTTACTGTTGTATTTAACTGGGATTTTTTTCTTTTCAACTTCTTTAATTTGTATCTTAAATTGTCATTCAGTTTTCACAAATATCCTTTCCATTTTTTTCATAAATTTGTGCTGTAGAATTTAAAAATGTGTTAAATTTAAAACGTGGAGAAAGTGTAAAAGTATAGCTTGTTACATTCCACACATCTTTCGCTTATGCTTAGGACACAACATTTGTTCTTAATTTTTTCATGTTTTTTGAAGACATACGTACAAAGTGAGAAAATTGATTCACATTAGTATTAAAATGAATGCAACAACCGAATTAGTTTTAGAAATAAAATCAAAATAAAAAATAATAAATCTGAGACAGTTGTATAGAAAAAGTTGTAAATTAAACGAGAGTATTTTTAATGGTAGAATTCTAAAGAAAAAAGATTTCTGTATGTAATTGAAGGTAAGGTGCTGCTATCTATGTCTAGCAGAAACTAATGTTAATACATACTTAACTGATGAGGATTTATATCCTAACAAATAAATAAACTGATAGAAGCATGAAGTTTCATTTAATTTATTTTTTAAAGAAAATTCATGGACAAAATTATAGAAGTCTGTTCATGGGGTACATTGTACCTTATAACCTTTCAAAAAATACGTGTTTAATACCAGTATCATTATTTTTTTAAGAACCATAAATGTTATTACTATTTTCACTACCTCTAAATTCATTTTATTAAATTGCATTCTTAATATTTTGTGGTTATGTATAATATATACATAATATTAAATATGAGTCTGAGTTTTCGTTGACTTAACGTTTATAAAATAAAAAAAGGAACATATTATTCTCTGTGTTTATTTAAAAATTTGATAAAATTGATAACAGTTTTTAGTATTCATAGTTATTTTTAACATGTAGTTTATAAAACCGTTTCTCACTTTTTCGATGGCGGTACTTCAAAAAAAAATGTTTGTAAAAATATAACTGGCTACGTATGGAACTTCGATGTTATCACTTTACATTAGTTGTAATTGTATCATAATTGTACACGGTTATAAAAATAAGAGTGTCTTATTAAATTATAAAAATAATAAAATAGTCATTCATATCAACATTTTCCCCGTGCGTGAGATTATGTAATAGTTTTATTTATTAATCGCTTCGATTTCTTTTATGTTTTAAATCCTCGTCATAAATATGAATATACAGACACAATAAAATTAATGTTATCAGTTATGCTCATACTCATTTATTACACTAGGTTTTAAAGGTCAATGATATGAATCTTGTGGAAAATACAATAATTTAAATCTTTGGTATTATTATATGGTGGCAATATTGTAAAACGTAAAACAAAATGAAATCGAAATACAATCTATCCAATTTTGATTGGCACCGGCTAAACGCATAGCGGCGTAGCAAAAAAAACACCTAAAAACAATACACTTGAAACGTATGTGTGGTCAATAAACTTGCCATCTGCGGGACGATAAAGAAAAAAATTTTAGGTGTCGTTCATGGAGGTAACAAACGCACTAATTGATTGTAACTTTTCAATTATAAATAAACAAAATGATTAACTTTGGATCTGATTTATTTATGAGTTGCTTATTTAGCAGGGTAGTTTATTTGGTTTGAATGATATTATTTGAAAAAATAAGTGACATCGTAAAGACGAAATCTTGAAGTTTCTACACCCTTCGTGATTCTATAACACTTCTGAAGTATTCCGCTGATTTCTTTGGTGTTCGCGTTCTATCAGGGCTATTAAAATCGACGAAATATAAACCAAATTTTACTCTGAAATTTTTTAGATATTAATTGCTCATTGATTAGTGAAAATACATACGTATATCCTTGTCCCCACTCAAAGTTGTCCATTAAGCTCCAAGCTGTGAAACCCTTGACATTGACCTTATCTTCGTAGATAGCTTGAAGAGTAGCGTTTAAATATTGCTGAGAAATATTATTGATATTAATTATAACAAAATATTCAGGTTTAAAATTTTACCTGAAGGAAGCTTATTCTGCGGTCATCTTCTAACGTTCCTGTTTTGTCAGGATACCCACACTCGGTGATCAAAATTTCAGGATCCCTGTAAGTTTTTTTGAGCCATATTAAACTGTTTCGTAAGCCCCAAGGTGCAACCTAGGCGCAAAGTACTTATTAAATAAAACTCTTGTCGAATGAATGTCTAGATACTTACTTTTCCATCCCATTCAGTATCTTCCCACCCTGGATCGACATGTCTTGACGTTCCTATATCATTTTGGACACTCGGTTTACCGATTGGTACTTCTTCTGTTGCTTTTACCAACCAACTATTGTAGTGATTTAGTCCTAGAAAGTCGTAAGTTCCTCTGTTGTTGATTTGTTCAAGAAGAGAAAATTTTGGAAGACGAGATTGTGGGAACCCTTCGAGCTTACTTCTTTCAGCCACACGGTCAATTACTATTTGAGGATAGTTGCCATAAACTACTGGGTTTGCATACAACCCAAACTATAACACTAATAATATCAGAAAATGGTTTCAAATTTTTTTTCTTACCTCGAATTGTCTTCTTTGCTCGGCCGCCACAACGTCTTCTGGACTGTCGCTTGCCGGTTCTGACCACTCAAAATTAAGTGTTATGCCAACTCTACCTGAAAAATAACAAATAAATATCTAGATTGGTACTAAGTTAATTTCGATTTACTACCTCTTTGTCTAAGTCTGAATTCCAAATCATAAATGCGGAAAGCTTTAACGTGCGCTTTGATCATATGGTGAGAACATAAGTATTCGATGATTCCGTTGGGATAGTACTCGTTGATCATTCCCATGAATTCACTGTAATCTTGACATAATACTTTTGGTTCGTTAAAAGTAATCCATCTTTTCACTCTATCTCCATACAAGTCAAAAGCTGTTCTAGCATAGTTTGCAAATAAATCGATGAAGGTCGGGGTGTAGAAACCTCCCAATGCTGAGAATATATCAGGGGTATCCCAGTGGAAAAGGGTAACAATTGGTTCTATTCCGTTAGCGATTAACTCGTCTATCAAGTTGTTGTAATAGTCAACACCTGGTTGATTGATACCATTAGCAAACCCATTTGGAAATATCCTCGTCCACGATAAGGAAAATCGGTAGTAGTCGGTATTTAAATTTTTGATCATTTGTACATCTTCTTCCCATTTATGGTAAGAATCACATGCCACGGTTCCATTTGACCCATCTGTTACGAAACCTGGAGTTTGGGTTAATCTGTCCCATACACTCACGCCTTTTCCGTCTGCATTCCACCCTCCTTCTACTTGATAAGCTGATGTGGCAGTGCCAAATTGGAAATCATCGGGGAATTCCCATTGGTTTGAAATGGAAGCTCTAAAATTTGACTCGTAAATGAGATGGTTCAAAAAGTTACGTTTTTACCTAATGAGTGCCAAAAAAATGATTCCTACAACTCCTACAGATTTCATTTTTGTAGTAATCTGATACTTTTGTCGTTGTATACTTTATAATTCTTTTGTTATTTTAGTTATCTGTCTCGTGGTAATAAGGAGATTAATCCGACATAAATAAAAGGATCAGCAATATATGATTTTACTTATATTTTTAGCGTATGACTCATAAAAAGTGATTTTTTGACGCATCTATTTCGTATAGTCGGTAAAATTTCACAGTTTAGCAAATTGCACGTCCACATAAAAATGAATCTGTTTGAGAGGAGAAATTGTTTGAAGCAAGTTATTGTTAACTAGAAGGAAGCATTCGCAATATGTACATAAATCAAACAATAGTTGTCTAAGATTTTTCAGTCTGTCAAATTTTCATTTCTCATTGTCTAATCTGATCTGGTTTCCTCATTTTGGTTATAAAATCTAACAGTTACCACTCCGCATTATGCAGCAGTGTTTCTTAAAAGTTTGAGAGAAGATGTAGATTTTTTTGTTGATGCATAGTGGTTTTGGTACTTTTTGATATTTTTAGCTTGTTATGTTGTTTGCTATTTGTACACTGGACATTATTAAAATTTTGTTCGATGTTTACTTTTATTTTGTTGACCATTTTGATACTTAGATGTTTTTGATTATGAGAGGAAATTTTAGAAGGAAGTTTTAGAGTTTCTGGAATAAGATTGAAAGTAAGTGGATTCCAAGATGCAGAGGAATTTAGTTTGCATTTGAAAGTAACTTGTAAATAACATTTAATGATATAGAAATATTGTTGCAGTTTCGAATCTACACTAATATTTATTTTGTTGTTATGTACTTATTCTAACGTTCGCGTAGCAATGACCCGTTTGAAATATTCTCCAGATTGTTTTATGGATCTAGGTCGCTCTGGATTTTCAAAATCGACGTAGTGCAGCCCAAATTTTACCCTAAAAATAATTTTTAACATCTATCGGAAACCAAAGAATTGTCCTTACGTGTAGCCTTGATTCCATTCAAAATTATCCATCAGACTCCAAGCCATAAACGCTTTAACATTAACCCCATCTAGGTGGATTGCTTCCAGAGTTGCGTTCAGATATTCCTAAAAGTTGTAAGTATTTTAGTTAAAGAAGCTCGTTTCATCGAAACATACTTTGTAAAAGTTAATTCGGCGATCGTCTTCCAGAGTACCGGTGGTATCAGAATAACCACATTCTGTGATAAGAATGTCAGGGTTTCCGTATGTTGTTTTGATCCAGTTCAAAGCTTTCCGTAATCCTTCAGGTACCACCTAAAAGTATTTATTTTTACGATGTTTTTAACTTTTTTATTAAACTTTACTTTATTGTCTGGTGCTGCTGTAGTTTCCCAACTATCATCTTGCATTCTTCTTACTTTTGTGTCAATGTAAAAACTATGTTCGGTAGGGTCAGCTTCACTTCCCTCCCCTACTAACCACGTGGTATAGTGATTGAGTCCCAAAAAATCATAGGTTCCTCGAATTGATAGTTTTTCCGCAAGAGTGAACCTTTTTAGTCTTGAACGTGGAAAATCTTCTAGTCTGCTTCGTGCAGCCACTCGGTCTCGTACAACTTTAGGATAGTCGAAATTTATAATAGGGTTAGCAAAAATTCCAAACTGAAACAATGAATTTTAAATATGCGACATACATGGATATTTAGTACCAACATCAAATTGTCGACGACGTTCTGCTGCTGCCACGTCTTCGGGGTCATTAGACATTGGTTCCGACCATTCGAAATTTAAGGTTATGCCAACCTTACCTGAAAGTAGCGATTATTCTACGTTTTCTTTTTAAAAAAGTACAACCTTGTTGCCTTTGTCTGAATTCTCTGTCGTAGATATGGTACGTTTCAGCGTGAGCTTTGAGAAGATGGTAAGTGCACAAATATTCAATAACTCCGTTAGGATACGCTTCTGTTATATTACCCAGTACACTATTAAAGTAGTGGCAAATTATATTAGGTTCGTTAAAAGTAATCCAGAGTTTAACTCTGTCACCAAACTGTTCAAATAGCGTTCTTGCATAGTTGGTAAAAAAGTCCACCCAAGCACTGTTGGAGAACCCACCAAGAGTACTTATCGTCTGCGGCATATCCCAATGGTACATAGTTACTACAGGTTCTATATCATTGGCGATGAGTGCATTGATTAAGTTGTTGTAATAGGCAACTCCGGCTTCATTTACCGTGCTGGTGTATCCCCCAGATAGGATTCTTGTCCAAGAAATAGAAAACCGGTAATAATCAACTCCCAGTTCTTTAAGTATTCTTACATCTTCTTCCCATTTATGGTAAGAATCACACGCAACGTCCCCCGTGCTACCATCTGTTACGAAACCCGGAGTACGGGTTATTCTGTCCCAAACACTGAGTGTTTTTCCATCTTCTTTGGCACCACCTTCGATTTGGTAGGCCGAAGTTGCGACACCAAACTTGAAATCTTCTGGAAATGTCCAGTCTTCAGTTTTCGATAAACTAGAAACAAGTAAAAGTTTTTCGTGAATTTATTAAATAAAACTTACTGGATTAGAAGACATAATTTTAATATAGGTAGAGTGATGTGCTGCATTTTGCTTCACCAAAGTACTGCTCACTTTGGAGTAATTCGTATGATCAAGTCGTACAGCATTAGAGATAGTGTTAGATATTAAAGGTAGTCGTAAATTTAATCCACCTAAAGATAAGTCGTTTTTTCAAATGGTTTGCTTAAATAAATAGTTTAGTATATAATAATGTTATATCTTATTTAAATAACAAAGTTCGTCTAAAGCACACAAACCTAGATCTGAATTTATGTTTTGCTGCTTTAACGAATCTTGTTTGCATAAATAAATCTTGTTTGCACGGCGATATAAATGTTTGTAAGGGATTTTTTGATTTATAAATACATTTTTTTTAATAAAACATTCTTTATTTTATACTGAGATGTTAAAAAAATTACATTTTTATATTAAATGTAGGCGCTCTAGTTGCTTAGCAACCTTGAAAAACAAATTTTTATTCTTAGGTAATACTTTGATAACTTTTATTGTTATAGAGATTAATTGTTTCCCAAACTAACGATCAAATTCCATAATGTGATTGTTTTAACGTTCTAAATGAAATGATTTATAAACAGATGTTATAAACACTTTTATCAAAAATTAACTCCAATTCTTAATACCCCCACAAGAAAAGTGAAGTTTTTGACGTAAACTGAGAAAAAAAAGGTTATCTGATCAGAGATCAGACTATAATAGACTATATATAGACCAAAAAATATATGACAATTTATGAAGGACAGTGATAAAACTTGGTAACTCAGAAACTGGTGTAAAGATGGAATCCAGTTGATAGTTCATAAAACTTATATAAAAAGTACGGCAATCTCAGAATTTTGGGAAAATGAGATATCATCAATAAAAGCAAATAATTTTTTCATTAAATTTTTAAACATTCTCAAAATCAAAAAAATATTTTTTTTTAACTAAATCGCATTGCCTGTCGAATGACATTGTCTACTAAACATTTATATAATAGATTTCTGAGATGATGTCATAAATTTTTTCTAGACATTAATAAATAATCTGTAATCTGTTCTGTAATCATTAATCAATAATAATCTTTGAACCAAAATTTCGGAAGTTCGTTTTGTAAACTCTAAGTAGAAGTGTAAAATTTGCCTTTATAAATTTACATATTTTACTATATTATTATTATTATTATTAGAAATGTGGATGAATCATTCATAAATAAAGGACCATGTCACACTATATATTCCAAGCGAAATTTACTTAACAAAATGTTGAGAAAACATCATGATTTTTTGAAAAGGGTGAACGAGTTCTATTACTGATTTATTATCATGTCTATGTACAAAATTTCAAAATATATATATTTTTTTATTTGCGTAGAATTAAACATAGGGGTAGATGAATAAATTCCCGTTGTTAAAGCATATTATTGTGTACACTTTGAATAGGAGTTACTTAACAAAATTTTGAGATGGCATCATTAAATTTTTGGTGGAGATAATTAGACAAATTTTGGATAGTCGTAAATTACACCCAACATTCCAAGGCCATTCACAGAGACAGAATCAGGAAACCTACTTATTCATATTCTAGGTGCTATTAAATGTTGAAAAAACATGAAAATGGCCGTTCGCCAAATGGACCCTATTGGTTAGTTTCTTTTCAGGAAGTAACAAAACATATAAACTAAATAATGATTTAAATTATTTTGGAATTATATTTTAGACTCTTCGGAGTTGGTACAGTGACCACTGGACATTCTTTGTTTTACACTAACAGTTGAATATTTATTGCAGTTTTGCGACAATATGTGGAGGACTTTTTGGCTTTTACGTTGAATTGATACGTTTTTACTTCTCGAGCTAAGGAAGTATTGTTTTCGGGTCCATCGGGCGAGTCGTTACTTTTATGTTTTCTCCACGTTTTACGTTTCCGTCCATCTGTCTGCCGTCTGCTGTCTGTTCGCGTAATCTTCTAAACTACTGGACCGATTGTTGTCAACTTTTGTATCTATTTTAGGAGTATCGTGTAGAAGATAAAACGCTATCCCAGATTTATCTGATCATCCCCACAAACGATAATATGACGTCATCTTCAACTCCTACGATAGTAAATGTTATTTAAATTTTATAAAATGATATGCTTGTAGTTTATGAATCCGTATTGAGTTTTTATCCCAGGTATCTCGATTTTTGTAAAAAAATAAAAAATGTAGGTATAACATTTCACAATTTAACTTTGAAATTGCAAAACCGAATGCTCTGAAACTTTGCAAACGTTTTAAAGTAGGTTTTCGGAAACATGTTAAATTTTATTATTCAAAATTTATCTGTCCAGCACCCCCTAAAAACCGATGCGTCATCTCAAAATTTTTCCAAATAAATCCTATTTAAAATGTGTAAAATATGATAAATCTATACTCGTGATTTATCGTTTTATTCATATTTTTTAGAATTACTTATACAGAGTGACATATTTCAGCCAATTTATTTTATTGATCAAATCAAAACTGGCAAAACCGTTTTGAAGTTATCGCAAGCATGGTAAATTTGTCATCAAAACACATCTATTTATCCCCTCCAAAAAATTGATGATATCATCTCAAAATTTTTCCGTATAAATCTTTCTAAAATGTGCAAAATATTAATAGTCTAGACTTGTGACTTATTATTGAATTCATATTTTTAGAATTGGTTATACAAGATGACTCATTTTTTAATTGTTTATTAATTTTTATTAACAAATGAGTCATCTTATTTTACTGATTACATCAGGAACAGATCACTTCATTTTCTCGAAAATTTGGCAATAGAATATTGTTATTATTCATTTTACACTGCATTATCAAAATTGATATACGTTTCCTTGCAAATATGTTTCTTTTACAGGGGCTCTCACAGAAAAATAAAATTCGCCAAATCAAATTTTATAATTTTTCGAAAAAGCTGTGATATGTTTTATTGTAGTTTAGGGGCGAAATAACCTTTGACCAATTTTTACTTTCCGAGCCTAAGCAAAGGAAGTATAGTAATCGAGTCCGCCGATTTGCCACTTTCATATTTTCTGGACGTGTTATGACCTCTAGAGTACGAAGAAAGTAGTTTCCCGTTTCCGTCTGTCTGTCTGGTGTCTGTATTATTTTTTTTTATTAGACAAGTAATCTCCGAAACTACTGGACCGATTGTTGTCAAATTTTGTATGTATATTAGGAATACCATGTAGATGGTTAATAGGATGACGTCATCTCCAAAATTTATAACAAACAGTTTTTTGAAATTGTAATAAATAAGATACTCCTGCATTTTTTTTTCACCTCAGACATCCGGAATTTTTGGAAAAAATTCAAAACTGAATAACAATATTTTGTAATATAATTTTGAAACTGTAAAACCGAATGCTCTGAAATCTTATAAATATTTATAGTAGTAGTAGATCAAAACGTCGAAAATTTAACCCTAGTCAATACCAAAAAATCAAAAGCGTACGTATGGAAAGAAATTATAGGTTGGAATCCGACAGGCTTGATACTTAAATTGCAGCATTTTTGAAGGATTTCGGTTATAGCATTACGAAGGAAAATGGAGAAGACTACAAAAAAGGACAGTCAAAACAATTTGAATTACTGTGGTAAAGATTTTACAAGTAAAGTACCAGGGAGTGCACAATATTCAGTTGGATCCATTTTGCGATGTTACTGTCTAAGTACTAGAAGTTTGCTAAGTTTTGAATAAACAAACTTCAAAAAGCTCTAAAATGATTGGAGATAATTTTTAAAAATACCCCTAGGGAAAATAATCAAAAGTATTCACATAAGTCGCAGGTCAAAATTTAAAGATTCCAGTGCTCAGATTGGGTAAAATGTTCTGAGAGAGATAATCGTAGAAGTTTGTGGTTTTGACTGTCGTTTTTAGATTTTTTCCTTATTTTTTTTTTTGCATTATTTGCCTGTAAAATTCAGTTTGTTCTTTGTTTTTACCTAATTTGAGTTGTTATTTTGTGTTAGTAATTAATACAGTTCTCATAAAAGCAACAAATTTAATGTTTACTTACTATTTTATTATGCAAATACAAAATCATAGAGTTAGCCTACAGTTCTCGTCCTAGTAACATTCTTGAAATATTCCACCGATTTTCTTGGAGTACGAGTTCGATTTGGATCCGTAAAATTAACATGATATAAACCAAATTTAAGCCTAAAATTTAAAATTTTTAAAACACGATCTTTCTAAATTGAAATAAATATCATACGTATATCCATGTGTCCACTCGAAATTATCCATTATGCTCCATGCCAAATATCCTTTCACATTAACTCCATCTTCCAAAATAGCCTGCAGGGTAGCATTCAAATATGACTACAATAATAATTTTATTGCTCGAATTTGTTTACTATTACTTATTTGTGCATTACTCTGTAATAACGAATTCTTCCATCATCCTCTAATTCATCACCCGCATTAGCATACCCATTTTCCGTAATTAATATTTCTGGGTTTCGATAGGTGTTTTTAATCCATTTCAACAGATTTCTTAAGCCCCAGGGGACAATCTAAAAGTAGTATTTTTGCGGAAGTATATTATAAGTAGATATTTTACCTTAATCCAATATGCAGCACATCCCTCCCAGTTGGGATTACTAAATCTTTCTCCTGCTGCATCCAGATCAATGTGTGGATCCGATATAGGTGGTTCTGGACTTGATCTCCCGTATAAAGTGATGTAGTGATTAATTCCTATGTAGTCGTAAGTACCCTTAATTCTCAGTTTTTCTGCAAGCGTAAATTTAGGAAGACGCGATTCTGGAAAGTTTTCCAATCGACTCCGTTGAGCTACTCGGTCAATCACCACTTTCGGGTAGTCAAATTTCATGATAGGATTGGCATAAATGCCAAACTGTTAAAAAATGCTACTGTATGTATGACCCGTGGGTTACTTTGTTTCAACAGAATGAACAAATATCGCATAAAGTGCAGAGTCATTCCAAATGTTGTACTATTTAATTTTAAGTCTGCTATTCTAATAAAATATTTCCTCAAAACGATATTTGTTCATGTCTGCTAAGAAGACTTTACGTAATAGTAGCACTAACATCAAACTGGATATTTTGATTTGCTGCCCGGACGTCGTCAGGATTGCTAGAATTTGCCGGTTCTGTCCACGTAAAATCAAGTGTGATAGAAATTTTTCCTAAAAATCGCACTTTATGATTTCGGTTAATTATAGTAGAAGAATTAACCTTTTTGTGTCCGTCTAAACTCTTTGTCGTAAATATGGTAGGCTTCTGCGTGTGCCTTCAGAAGATTATGAGCACACATATATTCGGATGTTCCTAAAGGAAAATCTGACGTTACGTCTCCAACTAGTCCTTTGTATGCTTGACATATTAGTCTTGGTTCGTTAAGAGTTATCCATGTCCTCACTCTGTCTCCGAACAAGCCAAATGCTGTTCTAGCATAGTGTGCAAAGTAATTTATAACCGCAGGATTTGTCCATCCACCCCAGGCACTAAACTTTTGGGGTAGATCCCAGTGATAAAGAGTTACTATTGGTTCTATATCGTTCTCTAGTAACTTATTTATGAGTCTGTTGTAGAAGTCTACTCCAGGTTGATTGATCTTTCTTGTGGTACCGTCTGGAAGAATTCTGCTCCAAGATAGAGATATCCGATAAGAGTCGACCCCTAAATTTTTCGCCATTTCTACGTCTTCCTCCCATTTATAGTATGAATTACATGCTACGTCTCCATTGCTTCCATCTTTTATGAGTACAGAACGGTTATGAGTGAAGGTGTCCCAAATACTAGCCCCTCTGCCATCAGTGTTCCAAGCACCTTCGATTTGATAAGATGCGGTGGCTACACCCAATTTAAAATCATTGGGAAACTTCCATTCAAGTGAAAAAGTATGTCTGCAATAAGAGTGGTCACATTTTTTACTTTGTTAAAAAAATGTTACCTAGCTGTTAGGGAGACTATTAACAGAACTGCAGTAAGCATTATGCTCGAAATGACTTTAATCTAATTCCTATTCTCTTTTATGTAGGTTAATTTTATTATAGTGTTTACAGGAAAATTTCTTAACGTTTTATAGAGAGGTACTTAAATAATAATCAAAAAATTGTTTTATTATTCTCTACGCATAATTACCTAAGACATAAATGACCTAGTTGATAAAATTTGTTTGTGAAGTCAATTAAAACTACATCTTTAAAGGACACAACAATATAAATTCTCATTAAATTACTTAATTCTGTAAAGTCACTCTTGACTAATTTGAGTTTGGTATTTAGTTAATCGTTCTCGTTTTCGTCACACGCTTAAAAAATTCTACTGATTTCTTCGGAGTTCTGGACCTATTGGGATCCGTGAAGTTTACATGATAGAGTCCAAATTTTGCTCTAAAATTACGTCTAATGTAAGAAAAAGAATAATTTTTCGTAGAAACATTTACTCATATCCTAGTATCCATTCAAAATTATCCATCAAGGACCATGCGGTATAGGCTACAACGTTAACTTTGTCTTCAATAATTGCATTCACAGTGGCATTTAAATATTTCTAAAACAGACTTGTTAGAACCGTACACAGAAAATGTTGAAAGAAAATTTACTCTAAAATAGTTAATTCTTTCGTCATCATCTATAATTTCTCTGTTGTCAGCGTAACCATTTTCGGTGATGTATATTTCTGGATCGTGGTAGGTCTTTTTAACCCATTTCAAAACATTCCTTAAACTTTCCGGAAGCACCTGTTTTTGAAATACTTAATAACACAAACTTTAGATCAAAAAAAAAAAAAAGAAAAATATATAAGAACAAGAATGAGAGCTGCAATATCTAAGCACTTGTAACTTGCATAATTTAAAATGTCGAATGATCTAGAAGGACATACAAAAGCATGTACTGCTCTTCGTCATATTCTTAAATATTTCACTTTCCTTTTTTCCTTCTTCTTACTTTAAATATTTCTAAACCAGTTGGTTCCCAGTTGGGATCCCGAAATTTTTCCCCTTGAGAATCTATATCAATGTCAGATTTGGATACTGGAGGTTCTTGACTAGCTTTTACAATCATAGTGAAATAGTGATTGATGCCTAGAAAATCGTAAGTCCCGCTTATTCTGTTCTTTTCCTGATAACTGAACTTTGGTAGTCGAGATTCTGGGAACCCTTCCAACCTACTTCTTTCAGCTACTCGATCAATAACTACTTTAGGGTAGTCGTAATTTAGAATTGGATTTACGTACAAACCAATCTACAAATGCACGTAGAAGTTAATCTAATCAATTTTAATTTTATCTTACGTCAAATTGCATGTTTTGTTCAGCAAGTCGAACATCTTCCTTACTGCTTGCATTTTCTGGTAGCCACCATGTCATATCAACAGTTATCGAAATTTTACCTAAAATATATTTTTGTAATGGAGCCTTGGTACAAAATACCGAACCTTTTTGGATGTGCCTGAACTCTTTGTCGTAAATGTGATATGCTTCTGCATGAGCTTTCACAATGTTATGAGCACACAAGTACTCAGCTATCCCCAAAGGAAAATCTGGCGTTATGTCACCAATTGATCCTTTGAAAACTTGGCATACTAATCGTGGTTCATTTATAGTAATCCACATTTTAACTCTGTCACCAAAAAGTTGAAACATTTTTCTGGCGTAACTTGCAAAGTGTTCAATGACAGCAGGGTTCGTCCATGCACCTAAAGGACTGAATATTTGTGGTAGATCCCAGTGGTATAGAGTAACAACTGGTTCTATATTATGCTCAAGCAATGTATTAATTATTTTATTGTAGTAGTCGATTCCTGCTTGATTGATCTTATTAGTTACATAACCGTCAGGGAAAATTCTTGCCCAAGATATAGAAAACCGGTAAAAGTCAACTCCTAAATTTTTTATCAAATCTATGTCTTCTTCCCACTTGTAGTACGAATTGCAAGTTATGTCTGCATTGCTTCCATCTAATATAAGATGTGACTGGTTGTGAGTTGCCATGTCCCAAATATGGAAACCTTTTCCATCCACGTTCCAAGCACCTTCTATCTGGTAGGCCGATGTAGCGACACCAAATTTAAAATGATCAGGGAATTTGTATGGCTCTGCTTGTGAAAACCTAAAAACACATTATAACGTTTATAACTAGCTATTTAAGAGTAAAAATTTTGCGTAAGTGCTTTAATTTTTTTTTACCTCACCACTAAACAAACAAATGTTATAAGGAATAACATTTTGAACAATCTATTAGTTACTCAAATTATTTCATGAATAGTGTGCTTCACGTCTATTTTATCAACTTTATTTTATCTTGATGTTTATGTTTTTCTACCCATGAGTGCAGTTGCCCGCTTTGATTTTTTCAAAAACAAATAAAAGTTGTTATTTATGGTTTGCTATCATGTTATTAGTCGTTTTTTTGCAGTTATAGAGAGTGAGTCAACAATATGAAATTATTAAACATTAAAAATACTTGGACTTAATGCTTTCTTTTCAAGAAAATTTTCATAGCTGGTGTAGATACCACTGGTATCTGGCTTTATACAAGAGCAAAAACAAGATAGAAGACATACATACAGTTGGTAAAAGGAAGCGATTATCCATTTTGACATCATTTTAGCTGGTGCGGTATGCTAATGCTGTGTTAACAAATTCGGTTTAAAAAAATCCCTTTGATTCTTGCTTTCAAAGAACTGTTAACATATCGCGCAGGTAATGCATTAAACTAATGAAAATTAAAACTGCCATTTATGATTATAATCAATTTTAATTTAAAAATTCTAGATTTTATGAATATTTAGCCTTTTAGCAATTCATTCATTTCTAAGACACCATCAAGCAATGTTTTCATATATTCCTAAAAAAGATATTGATGACAGTTTATAGAAACAAGCCTGAGTTGAACTTACTTTGTGTTTGATTTTTTTACGTTTTTCCAAATCGTTTTCATCACCTTTAACCTCAGTATCCATTAATACTATTGTGGAATCGGAGTAGGTTGTTTTAAGCCAATTTATCATGCGTTGACAAGCTTGTTTTTTTGTCCATCTACGAAAGTTTACTAGAAATAATAGTCAACACACTTTTGTTTATTAAAAAGTACTTTTCATCATCATCAGAATAAAAAATTTTCTTTGTCTTGCATCCACAGTCCGCTTTAATGCTAGGTTTTGAAACTTGTTTATTAGCGCTTGCTGCAATAAAAGTAATACCGTTTTGTTTAATTCCCAAATAGTCGTAAGATCCACTTAATTTTAATTTATCAGCATAAGTAAATTCAGGCAGCCGTGATCTCGCAAACCCTTCCATTTTGCTTCTTTTGGCAACTCGACTTGTAACTATTGGTGGATAGTCAAAATTAAGCAGCGGATTAGCATAGAGACCAAACTAAAATTATGAGTGAATATCAAAAAAAAATCGTCAAGTATCCTACCGTAAAGTGCACTTTCCTCTCAGCAGCAAGAACACTTTTAGGATTAGAAAAATTTGCTGCTTCTGCCCACTCTAAATCAAGAGTGATGGAAATCTTGCCTAAAACAAGCAACGTTCACATCAAAAAGTGCAACGACACAAATGTGCAAACCATTCTGCGTAATCCTAAATTCCTTGTCGTAAATGTGGTACGCTTCTGCATGTGCTCTTAGAATGTTATGAGCACACAAATATTCCGCCATTCCTGAAGGAAACTCATCACCTAGTAAACCTTTAAACGTGTCACAAACAGTTCTTGGTTCTTCAAAAGTTATCCATGTTTTGACTCGGTTGCCAAAAATTTTGAAACTTTGTTTAGCATAGTTTGCAAAATACTGAATTATAATAGGATTTGTCCAGCCGCCCAGAGTACCAAATACTGTTGGTAAGTTTCCCGAGTAGAGTAGTACTACTGGTTCTATGTCCTGTAGAAGTAACGTGTCCAACTGCTTCTTGTAATGATTGACCGCACTTTCGTTTACTTTGGATGTACACGCATCAGGAAAAATTTGTGCCCAGTCTAAGGTGATAGTGTTGCGGTTGTTTGTTACAAATAGGGAGTGATTGTAATTTAATCCATTTTCTTTCCATTCCTGGTTGCAATGGTAACCTGCGAGGTTTGTTTCACTTTTAAAAAAATTTTTCCATCCATACACATACGGTAATCTGTAAGTAGCCTGGTTAAGTAAGTATTTAAACAAAATAAGTCGCTCTTTTTCGAAACTATTTAAAGTAGTTATGTCTTTGTTATATAGCGGAGTAAGAGCGACTTACAAAATTGATTTTTACCCAACAAAAAATGTTAGACACAAATATAATATCAGTCTCTGCAATTGAAACATATTTCGAAATGAAAAGTCCATGATATTTTAATAATCGTTTAGTTGTTCAGTATCTTACAACGTATCGTATAACGGTTTGACCTGAGATAAAATAATTATGATAAACTTTGTAAACAATAAATCACCATTTTTACTCTATAAAAATTTGTGTTCATGGTTGTCTTGATATGCGTTACGTAATTTAACATTGATTATTTTTGAAGCCTGTTTTGATAGGATAAGATTTTAAATAAGTAGAAATGATTCAAACATTCAATTTCAAAGAACCTTTTATGTTGATGATATATATTTATTTTTTATTAAATATGTATTGCATAAGATACAAGACGTTATAAAATAAAAAAATTTGATTACCAACTAATCTCGCTTTTACTGTTGTACAGTGTATGTAAATTAATTAATCTAATCTATTTTTCTTGTTTTCACTATTCTCTTAACATATGCCACAGAACTCTTTGTTGTCCTCATTCGCGCTGCATCTTCAAAATCCACATGGAATAAGCCATACTCGACCCTGTCGAATATTAGAACTATTGGGTTCCGGTAGGTCTTTTTGATCCACTGTAGGGTGCTCCTCAAATCCCACGGCTCTACTCTACTCCAGGCAAATCTCGACGTTGCCATATCAGATTCGTAACTGGGAAGCACCGTCGGGAGCGGGAGGGTCGAGTCCAGCGAATGTTGAGAGAAACCGGTCAAGTTGCGCCGGAATTATTTTGTACATAGTGGCTGTATAATTAGTCGTGTAAAATTAAGTTACTAACAAATAAATTGTTGAGTTTTACTCACGCCGATTTAAACACCTGTACTACGTATCATTATTAATTAAATCACGAATGACTCACTCCATTTTCCCGGATATTTGAAAATACAGTACTGTTATTAATATTACACTGCATCTATCCAACATAATGATGACGTCATCACAAAATTTTGGAAAAGAAAACCCATTTGAAATATACGCACAACAAGCTTCTTTACATTTACTTTAACATTATATACGTATCGTCTTCATTTTAACAAAATCAAATGTTATAATTTTTCCAAAAAGCTGGATTTGTTTTACTGTACCTCAGGAGTGAGGGAAGTTCTGTCGAAATAACCTTCGACCAATTTTTTTATGAAAATGACAAAATAAAGTTCGTAAATAGAATAATTTAAGCCAGAAGAAGTTCTACTTCAGGTCACATTTTCTCCAGCAAAACTTTAGCAAACTTAGATTAGTTAGACAGAAAGATTATTATATTACACAAGGAAGATAAAAAAATTTTTAGAACTGAAAAAATCTGAATACGTTTAGTGTGACAGCTTACATTACCCAAGAAAATAAAGAGCCTCGATAAATAAAATTGGTGTCAACTAGTTTTATATAAAAATTTTGTTCTTGCACACTACTTTGCAGTAGCTTAATTTTTTGCCTTCTTTTAAAACATATTTAAATAAAAAAAAATGAAGAAAATATTTATACTACGAGTACCTTTCATTTAAAAAGTGTTTATTTCTTGTAATATTCATAAATAATTTTATGTCCGATTGCTCTATAAACGTTACTTTATTTTATAATTTAGCGGCCGTAATGTGGTACTTTATGGTACTAGTCAATAAAGACAACTTTATTTTACACTTGCTTTATTAAAGTTTTCGTGAATACAATCAAACTTACTAACTAAAATAATCTAGGCATGATCGCAATGTTTAATATTTACAACATAACGACTACCAGAAAACGTATATTGGATATTTTCCTTGTCGCATTTCACTGAATTTGTTTTTGTTGCTGTTTCTGCTTCTATTACTGCTTCTGCTTTTCCACAACTGAACATATCTTCAGCAACATTTTTTTCCGAAAAATTTTTGCTTAGAACTTTTTCCGCAACGTTAATTTTAGCAGTTTCATCAATATACCCCTCCGTTACAGTCGATGAAGGCCAGCCCTCATGTCTTTTCATACGAGGAAAGCTCTGTAGTGAAATACGCCAAAATACTCTCTTCCGACGTTGATTTGACGTTCTTTTTAGAGCACCACTTCCGATAAAGGTTGTAAGTTTCTTCGTATAAATGTCTTGATTTTGATGGTAGTAAAGACTCTTTAACACTCCTAACAATCTCTGTTATCTCACTTTCTGCTTGGTTCGATGTACTAGCTTGCATTTTGCAACTTGAAACGCAAACAGCAAAAATCTAAATATTTTTCACTTGTGTAAACAGACAATGGGTTACTGTAGTAACAATGAAAAAGTAGACTAGATTTTCAGATTTTTTTTTTTGCAATTGGTTTTCCTTAATTTTTATTTTTTTAAATTATAATAATTGTTGTAATCAGACATAAAGCCTTGTATGTAACGCGTACATAAACCGGCTTTATTGACGCGCCTTTTTAATCGACTCGGTCGCTACGCTCCCTCGTCTACTAAAATCGGCTTGTCAATAAAGACCTGGTTTATGTACTTGTTACATAAATAGCTATTATGACAGTAAAGCACATTTCTTGAAAAAACTTTTCTTTCAGCACTAATAGTCAAAATGTTATTATTAATAATAAGTTTCCCTTTTGTCCAATAGAATGCGATTTACAGAATAATGCTAACAAATGAATTTAACAAAAACGTAACAAAAAAGTACAAAATATAAAAAAAATCCGAAATATAGTTTTGTTTTGGCATGCCTCTTAAGGTGCTGGACGGCATTCAGATCAAATCTCTGTCTACTATGGCACACTATACTAAAATTTTATCTTCACATTTTTGTTGCCTTATATTTAACATGATCCGGACAGTGCTCTATATTATCCGTGTAAAATACCCTTCATTTCTGATTGGGTAATGTGAAATAGTTTCACAATCCCTGATGATCCCTCTGTTGTTAGTGTTCTTGGCATTTCCTTCCTTTACGATAATTCAGACCTTTTTTTAAGTTCTCGACTGATAAATGGCAACCAAACAAAAAGCGTTTTTGAATAATTTGGCAAAACTGGAAATTTGTCCCAAAACTTAAGTTCATTTAAAAATAAAACGGTTTAATTTTAATTTGTACAACATTGAAACAGTAAAAGGTGTTTCAAACAAAAGTTAAGTTAAAGTGTTACTAAGCCTTAAGTTATGACTCCTAAAAAAAAACGCCGCCGGGGGTAGCGCCTTCGCTTAGGAGCGGCGGTCGCTCGGACGCCAGCACCTTCTCCAGGGGAGGGAGCGCCGGGGTTGCTCTCAAGCCGGAGACACAGATCTCAGGTGGTGACCGCCCGCGAAAACAAGATAATAGACAATTAGCAAAATTACGTTCCGTACAACGTATTTTACGTTAACGTACACAATCCCCAATAGGGTATTTTCTATGTTTCTATCGATATAACAGTTTTTTCTACGTTTTGCGTGCTGTTCGTTCTACGGAACGTGGTTTCGCTAAGTGTCTAATAAAATAAGTCGGCTGGAAATATTTTGAACAATAAATTTGGTTTATTTCCTGCCACCAGCTACACGGCTATGATAATAAAACTTACGGCTAATCTTAAATCAATTAATTACAAACGACTTGACAGAAAAAAAATAAAACTTGCGGCACAGTCGTTCTCTCCGGGACGGCGACTTCCTTCAGGACGGACTCCTCCTGGACATGGGGGCGGCGACCTTGAAACTGGAAATCGCGCGGGGACGGCACGGCGATCTGGGAGGGGAGCGCGGTGGCGGAACACAACGCGTGCACAGCGGTTTCCACTTTTGCCGGTAACGAAAAAAAAGGTGACGGTGGTACGGTTTTTCGCTCGGGGGCAGGGATTCAAAAATCGGTACGCCGACAGGTAGAAAACCCAAGACGGTACTTACTATGGTTTCAGGGCTTGTTCACAGAAAACAAAGGAACTGCACCTTAGCAAACTTCCGAAAACGGTAACAGCACCTACACTCTCTGAAATTTCAAGAATCCTCTTCTTGCGCCGCGACGGCGCGGCAATCGCGGATTTACCCCCGGCCCGCGAAAATTTGCTTCGTTACAATATGTGAATTATTTATGAATTAAAATAATTAGAATACGTTTATTCTGAATCTAGTTTGCGTGGACTTGATTCGCCTCTGCTCTGAATTATAATATCATTTTATTTTTGATCTGATACAATTTTAGTTACTTAAAAGTAAAGGTAATCAAAATTTGAATAAAATGCGTTTTGCTTCATATGTAAATTGATAACATGTTAACTTTAATACAAACCTGAAAATTTGATGTTACACCAAGATAGGTATTGTTTCGCCTACACCTAAATAATATCTTTTAGTACATTTTTTCGCTTTACTTTTTTTTTGTAATTTTGCTTTTTGCAGATATTTTTTGTAGGTGTCTGTTAAAGCAACTATCGTTCACAAACCTTCCTTTCTTTTGACTAAAAAAGAAAATCGACACCATCAAAACTATGCCTAGAGATGACCAAGAACATTGACGATTTTTAAACTCTATTTGCGCGCGATGCGTAATTTTTGAAATCCTTGGATGCTTGAATATGATTTTCATTGAAGATCCAACAAATTTAATACTATCATCATATACTTTCATTTTTTATTATATAAACGTTATGTTAGATAAACACGGTACATAGTCCAGTTGCTTAATTTGTTGACAGGAACTTTATTGTGCACATAAAACATTATTACCAGCTTAGCTCGATTTAACTTTTGTACAATGCATATAAATTAATTAATCTAATCTGTTTTCCTCGTTTCCACCACGCTTCGTACGTATGCCACAGATTTTTTTGCTGTCCTTGTTCGAGCTTCATCCTCAAAATCCACATGGAATAATCCGAATTTGATCCTGTCGAATACACAAAGTGATGATTTATTATACACAATCAAATATCTTACCGATATCCTTGCTGCCATTCCAAATTGTCCATTAAACTCCAGATCGTAAACGCTTGGACGTTTACTTGATCTTCATGAATTGCCTCAAGTGTTGCGTTAAAGTAATCCTAGAATTATTTTCTATATTTAATGCCTCATTTTAAAGGAAACATACTCTGAGAAAATCTTGTCTTGGTTCGTCATCCAGCGTTCCAGTTTGATCTGGATAACCGCATTCGGTTATTAGGACTATTGGGTTTCGGTAGGTCTTTTTGATCCACTGCAGAATTCTTCGCAAACCCCACGGCACTACTTTATTCCAGTCAGATCCTGATGTTGGCCACTCATTACTTTGATTTCGAAACGTTCCCATATCTGATTCATAACTGATCTCTGCTATATCTCGTTCTGCAGCAGCAAATACATGCCAGGTACTGTAGTGATTAAGACCCAGAAAGTCGTACGTCCCTCTTATCCTCAATTTTTCAGCTAGAGTAAACTGTGGCAAACGTGATTCAGGAAACCCTTGCTGTTTGCTCCGTTCAGCAATACGATCTTTCACGATTTTTGGATAGTCGAAGTTAATTATTGGGTTAGCATATAATCCAAACTGAAATTTTAAACGCTAGATTATATAAAAGCTTCACATTACTTATTATACATACCTCAAACTGTCGTCTCTGTTCTGCAGCTGCAATATCTTCCGGACTGTCAGACCCCGGTTCCGACCATTCAAAGTTTAACGTTAGCGATATTCTACCTTTCTGAGTAGCTTTAAATTCTCTGTTGTAAATGTGGTATGTTTCGGCATGGGCCTTGAGGACGTGATAAGTACACATATAATCTATTACACCACTCGGGTAAACCTCATTAGCCGCACTCATAAACAAGTTAAAATCTTGACAAAAAACTTTCGGTTCGTTGAACGTAATCCATAATTTGACTCTGTCACCGAAAAATTCGAATGCTTTTTTGGCATAATAAGTAAAGAGATCTATAATAGCTGGATTGGCCCATCCACCTTGCGGGCTAAACATCTGGGGTAGATCCCAGTGGTATAATGTTATAACAGGTTCTATGTCGTTTTCAATCAGCTTATTAATAATATTGTTATAGTAGTCAACGCCATCTTGGTTTACGTAACTTATGTATCCGTCAGGAAATATTCTGGTCCAAGCTAAAGAAAATCGATAAAAATCAACTCCTGTTTCTTTTACCATTTCAACATCTCTTTCCCAATTATGGTATGAATCACAAGCTATGTCTCCCGTGGCGTTATCTGGTACTATATCTGTTGTGTGGGTAATTCGATCCCATATGCTCATTCCTTTACCATTGACGTTCCAAGCTCCTTCGATTTGATAAGCGGACGAGGCTACACCGAACTTGAAGTCATCAGGAAATAAATACTGGGATTGGACTAAGCTGCAAACATATTTATATTATGTGTATGTTTTTGCCAAATTTAGTGCATTACTTTACAAAAATAGAAAAAATCAGAGAAAGTTGTAATACTTGAAAGGTTTTCATGTTGTAGGTGCACAGTGCAACCGTCTAAACTCTAAATGATTTAACGAAAGAGGATTCACGTGTATTGTTTATTTATAATGCGCAATTATATTTAATCTTAATCCCGATGTGATCAAGGCAGAGGAATTTACTACACAGACACTTTTATAAACCTACAATAAATACGAATTAATCTCGTGATTTAGTTTGAATCAAGTTCTCTTTTCTTGGAATTGTAAAGAGCTTAGTAAATTTTCCACCAAATTTATTACTTCTAAGTTACTCTTGTTACTATATGTAATTTGTCGGACAATTTAATATCTCTAGAATTGTTAAAGATTATTTTTTTATAAGTATGCCAAATTAAGATACTGAAACATAATAATGGAAAAACTGAGAAATGTTTTCTAATGGCGTCATTAATCTTTTGGAAGGGATACATTACGTTTGTTATGTACAGCGTACCTAATAGCGTAACAATATTGTGTACTCCTCATTTCTAAAAAATATGGAAACGTTAATAAATTCTAACAAAGCAATATGTCACACTAAAAATTTCAAGCGAGATTTACTTGACAAAATTTAGAATTGATTTGTGTAAAGGCTGGCGATTTAACTACTTTGTTGCACAACAGATCTACTCTCGGTAATGGTACAAGTACAAGTATTTTTTTATACTTGTTATTGTGCAATTTTTTTGGATTCACTTGTAGCAACAACCGTTCCCCCAAAAACACGTGCTCTACCTAGACGCATTTATAATTTATGTAAATCTCTCTACAAATGTAAATACGTCCTATCTTTCGTTTACCTACCCTGTGCTCCTACTTTCTATTCCAGTTTATGGAATTTTCTAAACTCTTTCTTTACGGGCTTCCACCTCTCCAAATTCGAACCTACCTGTCGACAATTCAAACACCCTTCCTTGAGCTCTCAAACCCTAGCTATTTTTCAAAATCACCAACGATACCTACAATTGGTAACCCCGACGTGATAAAAAAGAAGTAAATGTATTAGCAGGGATCGTGACGAGTGAAGAGAGGAATTTCCAGTGAAAACAAAATGATGGCGTTAAACGCTACAAATACGAATCCACCCCCGACCCAGTCATTAATCCAGTGGAAAGTCGGGATAGAACACACCTTGATGGTCGTCCTGCAGAAGCTGGTTGCAATCGAGGCCTACCGGTTATCGCAGCCACAAAACCGTTCGCTATCAGACTCGCGGCCAGGCACATCGTCGCGTTGACGATCGGGATCCCTTCAACGAACGAAAGGCAACAGCGGTATATGCTGGTACCACTAGCGTTTCGGCGACAAATCGAGGTACAGTTCCATACTGGCGGGAAACGCCGAGGGCAGTCGTGAACGATGGCCGTTGACGCCTGCTCCACCACCGTCATTGATAGGACAACAGGAAAAAATCAGGAATCATCAGGTTGTCGTTGAATTTGAGTTTACGGCGCGAGTTTACGTGGAGATTGGTTGTCGCGGACGTGGTGAAGCCCATTATCGGAGCCGACTTTCTAACTCACTATGGACTCCAGGTGGATATAAGAAATTAGTGACTGCACCATCAAATCACTCAACTCACACCCACCGGAGAGGTGATTGAGTATGCGATCCCGTCCGTCAAAACCATCGCCGGATATTCACCGTTCCGCGGACTCCCTATGTCACACGTCCAAACGGAACCCATAAGGCGGTGAAACATGCCACCCACCACCACATCGTGACCAAGCCGGGCCCTCCCATTGCGCAACGTCCACGAAGACTCGCGCCCGACATACTCCAGGCAGCACGAAAAGAATTCGACGCCATGGTCAAGCTAGGAATCACCCTTCTTTCCCAAAGTTCATGGTCTTCACTGCTTCACATGGTGGCGCAACAGGTGAGGCACATCCAAGATTTTGCGCAATCCCTACACGGTAAAATCATATTTTCAACGATCGATATGGTTCGAGCATTCAACCAGATCCCGGTCGCAGAAGAAAACGTTCCGAAGACTGCCATTACCACCCTACTCGGCTTGTTTGAATTTCAATTCATGACGTTCGGCTTACATAACGCAGCGCAGCCGGTTCAGCGATTTATGGATGAGGGTCTCGATTTTTGCTACGCATACATCGACGACATCTTCGTCGCATCCGCATCACCAGAAGAACACCTCTAGCACTTGGAAACTGTGTTTCAGCGTTTGAGAGAGTACAGCGTCGTTATCAATCCTATGAAATGCGTCTTCGGCTAGCCAGAGGTCAAATTCTTGGGATACCTCGTTTCCGGGGCAGAAAAGGTCGAGGCAATCCGCAGCTTCCCGCAGTCAAATGCAGTAAAAAAGTTGTGTCAGTTCTTGGGTATGTTGAATTTTTTTAGGAGATTCCTACCTAAGGCGGCAGAGACTCAAGCAGCTTTGAACGACCTCCTCCAGGGCAACGTCAAAGGTAAAGCTCCGGTCACCTGGACCAGTAACGGTGGCCGCATTCGAGGTGTGCAAGGAGAGCCTCGCCGGAGCCACATTATTAGCACAACCCGAGCCGAATTGGCTATTTTTTCGGACGCATCACATTTCACCGTCGGAGCAGTCCTCCGACAGAAGCTCAATGGTCACTGGCAACCGTTGGACTTCTTCTTCAAGAAATTGAATCCCACCGAGTCAAACTACGGGGTTTATGATCGAGAATTGCTGGCCGTTTATCTCGCAGTCAAATATTTTATGCATATCGTAGAGGCGCGGTCTTTCACCATCTGTACAGACCACAAGCCGATCACTAGAGAGCGGAAAATATGCAGCAAAATTTTGGCAAATATGATCATATGATATGCACTAAATTTATGCAAATATGCAGTAACTTTCTTAATATATGCAGAGATATGCAGTTGCATATGCTCCAAAAATTAAAAAAGAGCGTAATAACCAAACTAAATTTATTTACAAATTACAAAAATATGTTTCCCGAGCTTACGTTTTATTACAAAAAATACATAAATCACATTGCAAGGTGTTTGATTACATCTCACAAACACATAAACCACATTTTTAAAGGTAATATTCTTATACTCAGAATAAATATAAACAGAACAAATTAAAAAATTGGTCTAAAGAGTTTAGACAGTACTTCCCTCGCTGTCGGAAACTTGACGACTGCATGCCTATTGTGTTTTTTCTCATTACATTTTTGTAGTGGGAATTTAAAAAAAAATGCGATGACGTCATCAACATTTTTGCAAGGACACGTATATCAGTTTGGGATAGATGTAGTGTAATACTAAGAATAAAATTATTATATTCTCAAATTTTCCGGAAAATGAATTGGGTCGTTTTGAATATTGATTTGTAATAATCAATAAAATAACGAAACAATTTACTCACGTATACGTATCCCAGGCAGCTGAAAATCGTGTATGTATAAACATTCTTAATTTAAGATGACAGGCGTAACAGCATACTTGAGAGTCAAACAGAGAAACTGTAAACAAAACGACCATCGGTTTTATTGCTTCGACTTCCGCTTATTATATAAAACATTGGGTTTTATTTTAATTCTTGACGGTGAAATTCACAATTGGTTGATTATAAACATGTCTATTTCACATTCGCGGAACCAAGTGAACGCATAAAACAAATGCAGGTCTGTAATGTTAAAGTCGATGTAAATAAGCATGCTACCCTTATGTTTCAACCGAGTTTTTCCTTTAACAAATTTTTTGTCTACCAAATTGGGTTGGTTGGGGTGTAATACTAATAATAAGTGTTGCCTTTAATTTAATCAATAAAATAAATTGACTTCATTAACTTTTTTGAACCACCTCTTAAGAAAATCTAAAAAATATGAATGGAATGATAAATCACAAATACGAACTCATCATATTTTTTGCATTTTAGATAGGATTTATTCAGCAAAATTTAAGGGTGACGTCATCAATTTTTTTAGGAGGGATGAACAAATACATTTTGAACAAAAGTTTACCATGCTTATTGTTCGAACATAATTGCTCCATTCCGGCGCACGCGCGAGTGAGCGGAAGTAGTACGCTACTGAACGTACAAGGTGCATGAGTGAACGGTTTTTACTCTCACGTGTTCCTCGTTGTGCTTCTCAAAATCAGGCTACCAAGAACCAGGGGCCCCTGTCACCTACAGCAGGATACTCCAGGTTAGTGGTACTTCTCAGTTATTCTCGGTCCTTCGCGCAAAGTTAATTCACGGCACCCCGCGTGCACATTTGGTCCTAATCGGAGCCGGATCATAACCTCACATTTATCGGTTTCTCGGTCGACGCTTTATCGCGTATCGCCGCAATGACTAACGAAGAAGTGTTGCAATCTCAAATTAAGAAGCTCGCCGTACTGAAATCTACACGGGAAAAGTTATTTGCTCAAGTTCAAAACTGTTATGACTCCGTGAAGAGAACCACCGTTGATACAGCTCTTCAGTTCAAGCCTCGGTACGAAAAACTAGAGGTTATTGAGATAGAAATGGATAAGACTCAGAATGCAATTATTCAGCTAAATGCAGATTTATTGGATAATCGCCATGCTCTCGAAGTCTGTAAGGTGCAAACAGCTTTCGATGATTTACTATTTAACACACGTGGTCGTTATTTAGACCTGGTGAAGACACAACCTCCGCAGCAAACCAGCAGTAATTCGGTCGCCAACAGCAACCAGCATTTGCCCAGAATAAATATCCCTACGTTCACCGGTCGCATCGAAGAATGGTCGGCGTTTTTCTCACTGTTCGATTCGGTTGTCCACAAAAACGATGCGTTATCAGAAGCTGAAAAATTCCAGTATTTGCGCTCTTATCTGCGAGATGACGCATTAACAGTCATTGCCAATTTTCATCTAACCCCCGAAAATTACGCACTGGCGTATGAGGCATTGCAACTTCGCTACCAGAATAAAAGACGGTTGGCGACTCACTACGTCAATCAGATTCTAGGTTTTACTCCTTTATCATCCCCAAGTTCTAGCAGTTTGAGACATTTTTTGAATATTCATTCGAATTCCATTAATGCTCTTAAGGCTTTGAATCTTCAAGACCTTGGTGATTTTTTGCTGTTTCAATTATCGTTTGCA